GAGAATACCGTGTTTCCCCGAAAATAAGACCCTGTCTTATATTTTTTTGAACCCTGAAATAAGCGCTTGGCCTTATTGCCATGCGCTCAAAAGCCCAATTGGGCTTATTATCAGGGGATGTCTTTATTTTGGGGAAAGCAGGATAGATAGATAGATAGATAGATAGATAGATGGATGGATGGATGGATGGATGGATGGATGGATGGATGGATGATAGGTACATAGATAGATGGATAGATGGATGGATGATAGATAGATAGATAGATAGATAGATAGATAGATAGATGATAGGTAGATAGATAGATAGAGATAGATAGATAGAGATAGATAGATAGATAGATAGAGATAGTTAGATAGAGATAGATAGATAGATAGATAGATAGATAGATAGATATAGATAGATAGAATAGATGGATAGATGGATGGATGGATGGATGATAGGTACATAGATATAGATAGATAGATAGATAGATAGATAGATAGATAGATAGATAGATAGATAGATAGATTACGTGTTTCCCCGAAAATAAGACCCTGTCTTATATTTTTTTGAACCCTGAAATAAGCGCTTGGCCTTATTGCCAATTGGGCTTATTATCAGGGGATGTCTTTATTTTGGGGAAAGCAGGATAGATAGATAGATAGATAGATAGATAGATAGATAGATAGATAGATAGATAGATGGATGGATGGATGGATGGATGGATGGATGGATGGATGGATGGATGATAGGTACATAGATAGATGGATAGATGGATGGATGATAGATAGATAGATAGATAGATAGATAGATAGATGATAGGTAGATAGATAGATAGAGATAGATAGATAGAGATAGATAGATAGAGATAGTTAGATAGAGATAGATAGATAGATAGATAGATAGATAGATAGATATAGATAGATAGATAGATAGAATAGATGGATAGATGGATGGATGGATGGATGATAGGTACATAGATATAGATAGATAGATAGATAGATAGATAGATAGATAGATAGATAGATAGATTACGTGTTTCCCCGAAAATAAGACCCTGTCTTATATTTTTTTGAACCCTGAAATAAGCGCTTGGCCTTATTGCCAATTGGGCTTATTATCAGAGGATGTCTTATTTTTGGGGAAACAGGATAGTAGGAGCAGCAGCCATATAAAGGAGCAAAATCAAGAAATTGTTCCACCTTAGCGTACTTCCTCTAACAAGGGGATATGAAGACGTGTCTCACCTGAACATCTCAAGAGACAGACAAGTGGATTACTAGGCAGTTTCTCCTCCCCCCCGTCCCCTCCTCCCCATCCTTAGGGACCTTCAGATGTATTGGAAATTCTTGAAATTGTGCAGGCACCAAATTGCAAAAATAGCGCTCCCTTGTAGAAGACATAGAAGTGGGTCATTTTAATGGCACGCTAGCTGGGCAACCGTGCTCTGGAACAAGGGTGTCACAACTCAAGGCCTGGGGGCCGGATCCAGCCAGAGGTGGGATTCACTTACCTTCCTTACTGATTCGCAAATATGAGCGTGCCCATGCGCTTGCTTCAGTCGCAAACACCGCCTTGTGCATTATGTCTGGGTGGGTGGGCAGAGCCTCCCACAGTCGCCACTACCGGTTTGCTCAAACCGGACAGAACCGGCTGAATCCCACCACTGGATCCAGCCCACGGGGTGCTTAGATCTGGCCTGCGGGGCCACCCTGGAAACAGAAAAGGACCGGCCCACGGTGTTTTTGCCAGCAAAAACAGCTCGAGAGGGCTGCACATGGCCTTCTGTTTTCACTGGCAGAGGGTTGCAAGAGGCCGTCGCAGCTGAAAACGGAGCTCAGGAGCCTGTTTTCGTTGGCAGAGTGCTCGGGCTGCCACAGGCGCCCCCGACACGAGTGACATCAAGCCGGCCACACCAGTGCTGGGTTGCCCCCGGTTCAGACCGGTTCTATAGAACCGGTAGTAAAACTGGAGGGAGGCTCCGCCCACCAACCCCGACGTCATCAGAATGCTTCTGTGCATGCGCAGAAGAGTGCGCACGGCCCCGTTGCGAACTGGTAGTAATGTAAGTAGAACCCACCCCTGGGCCACACCCACCCTGTCCACACCCCCACGCCCCCCACGTGGTCAAACACAATCCCAGTGAAATCGAATTTGACACTCCTGCTCTGGAACAACCAACCATTCCTTATTGTCAGTTCTTATCAATACATTCTTCCCCAGATCAGTGGTGGGTTGCCCCCGGTAGTAAAACCGGCGGGAGGCTCCACCCACTGACACAGATATCATCATAGATGATCTGCGCAGGTGGGCGCAAGCAAAGCGAGCAGGCGCGTGCGGGCGTGATGTGAACTGGTAGTAAAGGTAAGTAGAACCCCTGCCCCAGATGTGTTACGTTCACAACCCCCCCACCATCTACAGATGATAGAAATGAAAGCCTGCTTAGGATCATCAATTCTGGTGATTGTTGCTAGAATCCCCATGTTCTGTCCCCTCCCACGAGTGGCCTTGCAGAGGCTCAAATAGCCCGGCAGTAACAAATGCAGGCTAGAGAGATTGAAGCTGGCCCTTTAATAAATAGTTCTCTTCCAAAGGGTATATCAGTCCAATAGTTACCGGGCAATGTTCCAAAGGTCTTGGCAGATGGCGAGCAGGCTAATGCAGGAATGCAGACTCTTGTCAAAAAAACCTCCAAATTAACAATTGTAAATCCACTGCATCCAAAACACCAACAAATTGTTCACCATGCCTTTCCAGCCCAGTCACACCCCTTTTATACTTTGTAGAGTGTGGCCCTACGTCTCCTGACTACACCTCTTGGGACATAGCAATAGCTGTTCTCTACGACGTCTCCTACGTCTCTCTCTTGCATCCAATAGGGGCTCCCCCTAGTCGTTACCGGCCTCTGTTTCCTCCTCAATTTGGCTGGGCTCCAGAGGCACGTCAGCAACTGTCAGTTCTTGCTGACTCACCAGTGAAGACGGCCCCTCCAGCACATAGCTCGTGCCAGCTTCCTCCTCCTCCATATCATCCTCCGAATCAGCATGCGAAGATAAATCAGCCTCCGGGGCCGGGGTCACAACACCCCGGTACCAGTATTAACATACATGTTATTAATGAAAATACTCCATAAACAAGTCCATTCTCTGGAACGTAGACTGCGCTCAGGTAACCATCAAGATAATGCATAAGATGGTCATAAATATTAAACTATACTACTCGATTTTGGCTGAGTATCAGCATTTTGGGTCAAGCTCCATTTCTCTTCTAGCAAACCGAAGGTGTGAATCAACAAACCACTCCTGTTCGCTCTGGACCTCATCATCTGTGGAAGTCCTCAGTGTTCTCGGAGCTTGATGGTTTTCTCGTAGACGTTTCATGACCCAACTAGGTAACAACACCAGTGCTAGCAGGAAGTGGGGATTTCTTCCGATGATGTGACCTATTTGGTAATGGACCTGCTGCAAAAAAAACCCCAAGCTCAGAGAGCACCAAGGACCTCGCTGTTCAAACCTGAGCTACGAATATTCTCTTCTATGGGTAGCTGGCCATCTTCCAAACCTTGCAACCAAGCCATCTTTGCCACCTTCCCATCCAAAATCCAAGGAAGCGGTGACAATTCTGTGCTCATTTTATTCGCTCACATGATTAAAATGATGGGAATAGCAGAGTGGTACCGGTGGCCTAGAGGTGGAGTTCTTGCCCCACAATCAGGAGGCTGTGAGTTCGATCCTAGGTAAAGGCCGATATTTATCTCTCTCTGGGCACGATGAAAATATAATCTGTTTTAGGCCCGGGGTACTTGCAGGACCATCTCCAGCCGTTCTCCCATCGTCCTGTGCGCTCTCACAGAGTCGGCCTCCTCAGGGTGCCGTCGGCCAAACAATGTCGGCTGACGACCCCCAGGGGGAGGGCATTCTCTGTGGGAGCCCCGACCCTCTGGAATGGATTGCCCACTGAGCTCAGGACAGCCCCCCGACCTTCTTTCCTTCCGTCACGAGCTGAAGACGTGGCTCTTCCGCCAATTAAACTGATCTGTTTGGGGGTACACTGGTATAATTTTAAATCGTTTTTTAATTGGATTACTGATTTTAATTTGGTATTGTATTGTGATTTGTATTGAAGTTGTCATTTTGTAAGCCGCCTTGAGTCCCTAGGGAGAAAGGCGGCATATAAATCGCAATAAATAAATAAAATAAATAATCTGCTGAACAAAGCTCCGCACTGACAACAGGAAGGCATCCGGCCATTAAAATGCTCTACTAACTCCATTCAGTTGCCCAGACTGTCAGCGTTCCAGAAAAAAAACCCAACTCCAAGTAAAAACTTTGAAGCAAACATTTTTCAAAGTTGTATTTACTAGAATAGGTAAACTGGCACATCTGGGAAAACCTGAATCTGAGAGGTCCGGGTTTTCCCTCAATGAATCAAACCCCCCCAAAACCATCCCCTCACTCCTCAGTCGATCACATGCTCCAATCACCCTCCGTCCCATCTCAAGACATCACTCCAATCACTCCTTCTCCAGATGCAGGATCGGCCTGACCTTGACCGACAGGAAGAGTGCTATTATGTCTAAAGACCACCCCTCTACTAAATCCCCCCTCCTACTTTCCCACACGAGAGGGATTATGGGGTCGTTAAATGAAGATGATGATGATTGTCTGCAGCATCCTTGTTTTCCCATCTATCCTCAAGGAGGCTCAAAGGGGCCAGCTAGAAAAATCTGAAAGAAATTTCCAGATATTTCTCTCTCTCTGGGCACAATGAGAATATATCTGCTGAACAAAACTCTGCATTGGTAACAGGAAAGGCATCCGGCCATTAAAACGCTCTGCTAAGTCCATTCAGTTGCCCGGACTCATTAAATGCTGATGCTGATGCAAATGATGGAAAGAAAAAACAACTCTTTGGGTGACACATGGGGAAAGACCACACCGTTTTTAACTATTCACAGATATGCAAATCTGGCGTTATGCGGGGGGGGGGTGTCAAAGGAGAAGAAGGGCAGGCCCTTTACCTGCAGAACCAGCTGCTGCCAAGCAGTCGCTAGGGGCTGCCCACTGCCAATGTTGCAGACGTTTATGCGATCCGAGGGCTGGTTGGCCCGCTCGAGTTGCAGGGAGACATTGCGGCGTTCCTCTTCCAGCGCTCGGGTGAGACGCTCAAAGCGAGCCTCTTGCTCCTTCACAGAGGCCAAGATGCTCGCGGCGGATCGGATATCATAGTCATCCATGGTTGGGCTCAAAAGGTCTGGCTTGGTCACTGATAGGGCAAAGGACAAAAATTAGGCTGACACAGGTCAGGAGTAAAAGGGAGATCGGCAGTGTCCAACCTTGGCAACTTTGTGGACTTCACGTTCTGACCCAGCTCCCCAAACACGACAAACCCTTTGAAGTTAACTCAAAGATTCCTTTATTAGGAGCGCCGGCAGCCCCGGCAAAAAGTTTCTCTCTCAATGCAGGCTAATAAGTCTGTCCGGCAAGGAGATGAATAGTTGTCTGTCACATCTATTCATCTCCGCCCCTTGCCTTTTATCCCCAGAGCTAGAGTGGGACCTCGCTAGCAGCGGTGGCTCTTCCATTCCGAGGACCGGCCCATAGATTTCCACTGCTCTCCTCTCTTGTGCCTTTTGCCCATCTGCGTGTCAGGCACTGGACCCAGCTGTTCCTCCTCCTCATCATCAGCCCCCTCCAGACCTGGGGGCTGTTGACTCTCCATCTGAGGGCTGACGGACGGCCCAGTCTCCACCTCTCTCTCTCTGACAGCTCCATTCGCTCTTCCCCCTCAGTGCTCTCAGGTTGCCTTGATGCTGACTCTGACTCCCACACCTCCTTCTCCTCTGCTTCGGCTGCTGGAGGTGCCGGTGGCCAACAGCCACAACACTTCAACTCAACTTACAACCATTTTTTTAGTGACCATTCAAAGTTTACAACGGCACCAGAAAAAAGGTCTTAGGGACCGTTTTTCACACTTATGACCATTGCAGCATCCCTGCTTGGCAACTGGCTCATATTTATGACTGTCCCAGAGTCACGTGATCCCCTTTTGTGACCTTCTGACATGCACAGTCCATGGGGAAGCCAGATTCACTTAACAACTGTGTTACTGACTTAACAATTGCAGTGATTCACTTAACACCCATGGCAAGGAAGGACATAAAATGAAACAAAAGAATTCTGGGAGTTTGAAATCCACAGGTCTTGAAAAGTTGCCAATGTTGGACACCTCTGACGTAGATGAAGCCCCACAACGAGGCAATTCAAAAATATTTCCAAGTTTTAATTATAGAATCTAAGATATGCTAACCAACCCGAAGTGGAACACTTCACACCACGTGGTGGAAGTGCTTCAGAGACGAACAGCGAAATGCAATTGACAGACCGAAGAAAGGATGAACATGTTTCCATGCTTGCATGCCATTACAGTAAATGAAAGATCAATTCAAGATCTTTTTGCTATGGTCGGGAACGTGTGCAAAGGGCTCGGCTGCCTCTGATCTGACTGCTGTCCAATCTGCAGCTCTTCCTTCTGTGTACCAAGGCCATTCTCACAGGCCACTCCACACAAGTACACAGCTTCATGAAAGGCCTGAGTTGGGTTAAAGTTGGCTCCACAGGAGTAAAATTCTCCCAAGAATCAAGACAGCCGAGTGGTTGAATTACAGGCAGTCCTCGACTTACAACCATTCATTTGGTGACCATTCAAAGTTAGAACAGCACTGCAAAAAGTGACTTTAGAACCATGTTTCGCACTTACAACCATTGCAGAATTCCCACAGTCACGTGATCAAAATTCAGACGCTTGGCAACTGACTCATATTTATGATGGTGGCAGTGTCCCAGGGGGTCACAAGATCCCCCTTTTGCGACCTTCTGATGGGCAAAGTCAATGGGGAAGCCAGATTCACTTAACAACCATGTTACCAGGGTTAGTATTCACTTACTTTCGCTACCGATTCGCAAATGTGAGTGCACATGCAGAGCGTCAAAAAGGTGCATTAATGGGACGTGATGACGTCCAGGTGGGGGGGGGCGGTGCCTCCCGCAGCTGCCGCTATCAATTCGCCCGAACTGGATAGAACCGGCTAAATACCACCTCTGCGTGTTACTAAGTTAACAACTGCAGTGATTGACTTAACAATCGTGGCAAGGAAGGCCAGACAATGGGGCAAAACTCACTTAAGAAATGTCTCGCTTAGCGGCAGAAATTTGGGGCTCAATTGTGGTCATAAGTCGAGAACTACCTGTAAAATCAAGTGCTGAGTAGACCCTGGTTCAAATCTCCCCTCTCTTTCAACGCTCACTGAGTGGAGTAAAGTTACTCGCTCATTCATTCCCTCCCGTTGTTTAACTCTCTTTGGAAGTCTCCTGTGAAGCGAGCGTGATGAGAAGCTATTTAAAGGATGGCTGTTATAACAGTTGTTCATTTGGGAAAGAAACGTACTAAACTCTTCTTGGAAAGATGGATGAGGCATTTCTGCACCGTCTCCACTAATTATTTTCTGGTTATTCATCCAGGTACAACTAACTCAGTTCTTATCTGCTTCATCATTAGTAACTAAATGAAGAGACTAGGAAATGTCAGCTACAAATCTACTTAGAAGAATTCTAGTTAAATCTGCTGGTTACACTGTGCTATTTATACATTTAACACCTTCAAAATTTGGAGCAAAGCCAGCTTCGCTATATAAAAGCTTTCAATTTTCTTCCATACGTCTTATCCCTGAACCAGGGGTGGGATTCAGCCGGTTCGGATCGGTTCGGGCAAATCGGATGCTACATTTACATCTGGTTCGCCGAACCGGTAGTAGCATGAATTGGCTGGCTCTGCCCACCCCGCCTCTCCCAGGAGCCTCCACACGGCCCGTTTTGGATGTCAGGTAAGTGCAGGACCCACACAGAGGCTCTGGGAGGGTGAAAAACGGGCCTCCCGGAAGTTCCGGAAGTCTGGAAACGGGTCCGTTTCTGGCCTCTGGATCCCAGGGGAGGCCGTTTTCACCCTCCCGAAAGCTCGAGGAAAGCCTCCGGAGCCTGGGGAGGGTGAAAATGCCCCGCCGCCGCCATGGTGCAGGAGGCCGAGTAGGCCACGCCCACCATGGCCACGCCCATCCAGCAACCGGGCAGAGAACCGGTTGCTAAAGTTTTTGAATCCCACCCTTGCCCTGAACTATCTATCCTTCCAAATAGTTTATATAGCTAGATTTAAGACAAGTATTTTTTGATCAAAAAAGGGGACTGCAAACTTATAACTGAAAAGTTGGTCAGGATTCGTGGGAATCCAATTTCGGTGTCAGAATTCTGTACATCAAAAAGCCAGAAAATGGGACAGTGAAACCATTCTCGCCATCTAAAGTGTGTAACCTGTTGTTGCTGTGTGGCATTTGAAGAAAAAAAAATGGCCTTAAGTGTTGCCTTATTACTAGGCAATGAAACTCTATACAGTTTCGATTTACATTCGACTTACAACAATTTGTTTAGTGATAGTTCGATAGTTCGACAACGGCACTGAAAAAAAGTGACTTGTGACCAGTTTTCACTCTTACGACCGTTGCACAATCCCTACAGTCACCTGATCTAAATTCAGATGCTTGGCAACTGATTCATATTTATGACGGTTGAAGTGTCCCGGGCAGTGGTGGGGTTCAAATGATTTAACAACCGGTTCTCTTCCCTAATGACTGGCTGGGTGGGCATAGCCATAGTGGACATGGCCAGAGGGTGTGACAGGCAGTACTCGGCCTCCTGCACCCCCCTGGGAGCAAAAACGCCTTCCCCGCACCCCAATTTGGGTCTAGTAGGCCTCCCTGCAGCCTCCTGGGAGCAAAAATGCCTTTCCCGGACCCCATTTTGGGCCTAGTAGGCCTCCCTGCAGCCTCCTCGGAGCAAAAATGCCTTCCCTGCACCCCAATTTGGGCCTAGTAGGCCTCCCTGCAGCCTCCTTGGAGCAAAAATGCCTTTCCCGTACCCCAATTTGGGCCTAGTAGGCCTCCCTGCAGCCTCCTGGGAGCAAAAATGCCTTTCCCGTACCCCATTTTGGGCCTAGTAGGCCTCCCTACAGCCTCCTCGGAGCAAAAATGCCTTTCCCGCACCCCATTTTGGGCCTAGTAGGCCTCCCTGCAGCCTCCTCGGAGCAAAAATGCCTTTCCCGCACCCCATTTTGGGCCTAGTAGGCCTCCCTGCAGCCTCCTCGGAGCAAAAATGCCTTTCCCGTACCCCAATTTGGGTCTAGTAGGCCTCCCTGCAGCCTCCTCGGAGCAAAAATGCCTTTCCCGTACCCCATTTTGGGCCTAGTAGGCCTCCCTGCAGCCTCCTCGGAGCAAAAATGCCTTTCCCGTACCCCATTTTGGGCCTAGTAGGCCTCCCTGCAGCCTCCTCGGAGCAAAAATGCCTTTCCCGCACCCCATTTTGGGCCTAGTAGGCCTCCCTACAGCCTCCTCGGAGCAAAAATGCCTTTCCCGTACCCCATTTTGGGCCTAGAAGGCCTCCCTGCAGCCTCCTCGGAGCAAAAATGCCTTTCCCGCACCCCATTTTGGGCCTAGTAGGCCTCCCCGCAACCTCCTCGGAGCAAAAATGCCTTTCCCGTACCCCATTTTGGGCCTAGTAGGCCTCCCTGCAGCCTCCTGGGAGCAAAACAGGCCATGAGGGGCACGCCACACACACCACCATGCCCCATTTTGGGCCTAGTAGGCCTCCCTGCACTTACCTGGGAACCAAAACGGGGCGTGTGGGGACTCCTGGAAGGGGCAGGGCAGGGCCAGCCAGCAATTTAACAATCAGTTTTCCCGAACCGGCTGAATCCCACCACTGATGCTGGGTTTATGTGTTCCCCTTTTGCAACCCTCTGACTAGCAAAGTCGATGGGGAATTCAGTTAACAACCGTATTATTAACTCAACGGCTGAGGTGATTCCCTGAACAACTCTCTCTCTTAGCAACAGAAATGTTGGGCTCAAATTGTGGTCGTTAAGTCGAGGACTACCTGTAGTTAAATCTGTGCCGATCTTAAGTAGCATTCCAGGACATGCAACATTCCCCTCAAGCAATTTTGGAAAACATGCATTGAGGAAGAAGAAGAAGAAGAAAATACACACCTAAGAAGATTTCGGAAGGCCTTTATGCTAAGAAGGTTGGGACATCACACATTAATCTCTAGAGGAAATGAAGCCACAGACAACCTTAAGCAGAAAAAGCTGTAAAGAAAGAGAGAGGGAAAAAAAGAGAGAGGAAGAAAGAAGAGAAGTTAGTTAGCAAGGCGTTAGTAAGACTACTCTCCGTTGTTTCTAGACATTTTATTTCACCAAAGAAGATTAGCTGCATAACAGAGAAGAAAAAGAACAAAAACTATAGAGTACAAGGGAGTTTGGAATGCTTTACAGCAGCGTATCTCAATTTGAGAAACGTTGAAAATGTATGGACTTCAATTCCCAGGATTCCCTGGGAGAATTCCCATGCTGGCTGGGGAATTCTGGGGGCTGAAGTCCACACATCTTAAAGCTCTTGAGGCTGAGAGGCACTATTTTAATGCTATGACCGTACGGTGCAACTCTATCGACCTTCCTCTACTGGGGGGCCTTCCAATGGTGATGGGACCTTCACGATTCCAAAGTTGATGGGACCATGACTTAATGGTCCAGTGCCTTCCGCCGTGCCCTTAAAACCCACTTTTTCCAGCAAGCTGGGCTGGCTTAAGAAGAAATTTTAAAATGTTTTTTTTTTTAATTGAAAAAGTTTTCAAATACAAATTTTTCCCCCTTTTTTCCTTCCCCCCTTCCTCCCTAACCCCCCCTCGCCACCCATCCCCCCCCGTGACTTCTTCACACCAAAAACCTAATTCATAACAGATTACATAATATTTTACCATCTCCTTACTCCCTCCTCTATATACTGACCCTTACTTACTAAAAATATTATTGATATTGTTACTTTCCCCTTTTACCATACATTTCAAAAAAAAAGCAGTCTGCTATAACATTGTATGATAACTTCTAATTTAGCATAATATTATTATAACTCCCAATTTAGTAATAATCTGCCCTTTTTGAAATTTTAAAATGTTTTAATTGGTTTGTGATTTTTAATTTTTGGGCCAAATTTATATATATTTTAATTGTTTTTTAATATTTGTATTTCATGTTCTTAATTCTGGCTGTACACCGCCCTGAGATCTCAGGGAGAAGGGCGGTATATAAATTGGAAATAAAAAATAAAAATAAATTTACTTGAGCATTGAAGGGCACCAGGTTAGCAAAGGCTAAACTCCATCAACCTGAAAAAAGGAAGAAGAAATTCAAGTGTCTTTTGTTCCTCCCTTGGATGGCTCTTTCTTGGTATGTAGACGTTGGGTGGAATTCGACTCACTTCTTCCAGAAAATTCCAAAGGGAAGGTTGGTTTCTAACAGACCCATCCTTAAGTGAGTCATCTTGAGCGTTTGCAGCAGATCTCTCTTAATATTTCACTTTTTTCTCTAATCTACCCAATGGTGCTGTTTTAATATTGGCTCACCGTGAAAAATATTCCATCCTCACACTCCTCAAAAGAGGGAGATGAATCACAGTCCTGTGGGCCATTGGGGGTTTCCCATCCCCCGATTCATGCTCTTCCCCGCCATAAAACTGAGGAAAACCATTGAGATTGATGGTGCTATGATTGAAAAGAAAATCCATAAAAGAGATGCATAAAGAGATTCTGGTTGGAATTTATTCTGGATTTCTTTCTTTTTGTTTTTTTTTTAAATTAGTTTCTCCAACCTGCCCCATCCTAACAAGAATGAAAAATCAGAGACAAGTCGCATTGAAGGACCCAAAAGGTTTTTAACTTCTGTTCTCCACATTTTTCCCCCCTATTATTTTCACGAACAACTCCAGTCGGTGAACATATCAAACACATCTTCCTCTTCCCATTTACCTCACAACAACCGTGTCAGTTGGGTTAGGTTGAGAGGGAGGAACTGGCCCAAAGTCACCTAGTCAGATTTCATAACTAAGCAAGACTAGAAGTCACCATCTCCTGGTGATTGCCCAAAGTCACCCAGTTGGCTTTCATGACTAAGCAAGACTAGAACTCAACATCTCCTGGTGATTGCCCCAAAGTCACCCAGAGGCTTTCATAACTAAGCAAGGCTAGAAGTCACCATCTCCTGGTGACTGGCCCAAAGTCACTCAGTCAGCTTTCATAACAAAGCAAGACTACAAGTCACCATCTCCTAGTGATTGGCCCAAAGTCACCCAGTTGGCTTTCATGACTAAACAAGACTAGAAGTCACCATCTCCTGGTGATTGCCCCAAAGTCACCCAGTTGGCTTTCACAACTAAGCAAGACTAGAACTCAACATCTCCTGGTGATTGCCCCAAAGTCACCCAGAGGCTTTCATAACTAAGCAAGGCTAGAAGTCACCATCTCCTGGTGACTGGCCCAAAGTCACTCAGTTGGCTTTCATGACTAAGCAAGACTAGAACTCAACATCTCCTGGTGATTGGCCCAAAGTCACCCAGTCGGCTTTCACAACTAAGCAAGGCTAGAAGTCACCATCTCCTGGTGACTGGCCCAAAGTCACTCAGTCAGCTTTCATAACAAAGCAAGACTAGAAGTCACCATCTCCTGGTGATTGGCCCAAAGTTACTGAGTTGGCTTTCACAAGGTTGAGAGGGAGGAACTGGCCCAAAGTCATTGAGTCGGCTTTCACAACTGAGCAAGGCTAGAAGTCACCATCTCCTGGTGATTGGCCCAAAGACACCCAGTCAGCTTTCATAACTAAGCAAAACTAGAACTCAACATCTCCTGGTGACTGGCCCAAAGTCACTGAGTTGGCTTTAATGACTAAGCAAGACTAGAAGTCACCATCTCCTGGTGATTGCCCCAAAGTCACCCAGTCAGCTTTCACAACTAAGCAAGACTAGAATTCACCATCTCCTGGTTATTGACTAAAACTCACCCAGCTGGTTTTCATGGCTAAAGTAGGACTAGAACTGATGGGTCTCCTGCTTTCTAGCCAGGTGCCTTAACTAACTAGACCAAATTGGCTTTCTATATTGGGTCCCCCCCCCCACCACCACTACTACATTATCATAAACATCTTGAGAACTTAAAATTGGTCTTTTGCCTTTTGTTGTCATCTGTAGGGACTCCTCTGGGTGATAACCATCAGCTCTGTTTTGTTTCTCCAGAGCCCCCGTTTTAAGCCCGGGTGCTGAGTGAGCTATTAAGGAAGTAATTATTACATATTCTTCTGCAACTGTCTCCTTGCGGAGTCCAGCAAATTCCAGTATCCAAGCTAAGCCTCTCTCCTCTGCTCCAACCGGAGCTGTTTCTTTGCTTCAATGGCCTTTGCTCTCCATTCCTCCTCTAATTTGGCCGATTATCAACAATCCCACACCAATGAAAAGCAGCGAACAAAAGGTGGCAGTTTCAATGCAGACACAGACAGACAGTCACAGTGTGCTGATGTCAGAAGAAAGAAATGGGGGTGGGGGGTGGAAAGGATCAGGGACAGGGTTTTTGTTTAAGGTAGACACCCACACCCACAGTCGCACCCCAAAGTAATCTGCGAAACAAAGAGTTCAGCCAAGGAGAGATTGAAGAGAGAGGAAATGTCTCGGTGGAAAAAAAAAAAATAATAGAGAGGGGAATATTTCCCCAACTCAGTGCCCATTTAGGAGGGTGGAAAATGATCTGGAGTTATTTTTTTAATTTCAACAGAAAAAACAGGAGTCTATTATTATTATTATTATTATTATTATTATTATTATTATTATTATTATTAAATTTTTAGTGAGATTCACAGCCTTTGAGGCTGGTTAATAGCTCAGCAGCTCGAGTCCTAACCAAGGACCTAGGAACTGTTAAGGTATCGTCAGAGGATGTAAGCTGTTCCGAGTAAGGTGTTTTTTATGTAGAGTCAAAATGTTCAAGTCCGGCAAATTTAGAATTTCTAAATAGCGGGGTAGCCCTTTGGGTATTGCTCCAAGGGCTCCAATTACAATCGGGACAACACACGACAATAATAATAATAATAATAATAATAATAATAATAATAATAATAATAATTTCTATGCTGCCCACTCTGGGCGGCTTACAACAATCGATAGTATACTAAATAGCATATCGCCCCCCTAACAATCTGGGTCCTCATTTTACCCACCTCGGAAGGATGGAAGGCTGAGTCAACCTTGAGCCGGTGAGATTTGATCTGCTGATCTGGTGAACTAGCAGTCAGCTGAAGTAGCTGTAGTACAGCACTCTAACCACTGCGCCACCTCGGCTCATTTACAACACACAGTGTTAAGAACTGCAACAACCATTCTCTAGGACAGGGATGGCAAATCTTTTCGGCACTGGGTGCCCAAACCGGAACATGCGTGCATCTGTGTGCATATGCGCGCACCGGAGCATCGGAAACCCGAAAACTAGCGGGCCGGTACCAGGGGTAAAATCTACTTACCTTCCTTACCGGTTTGGAAGTGTATGCACTGCACGCACACCTTCTGCGCATGTGTAAAATTTTCTGTGCATGCGCAGAAGGTTAAAAAACATTACTTCCTGGTTAAAACTCGCCGAACCACAAGGAAAAATCGCTACCAGTTCGGGCAATCCGGTCCGATCCTGGAGCATTTCACCCCTGGCTGGTACGCATGTGTGCGCCAGCCAGCTGGTCTTTGGGTTTCTGGCATACGCATGCGCACCAGCCAGCTGCTCTTCACGCGCACCTCCTTCCTCCACTCCGCAAACCCCACTCCCATCTAGCATTGATGATGTCACCTAGTTGGGTAATGAAAGCATCCAAAGAAGCAATCAAGCTTAGAGAGTACCAAAGCTCCCAGTCCTTCTCCTCCTCCTTCTCCTCTCTGCAAACCTCCCTTCCTTCTAGCACTGATGATGTTAGCTGAAATGTCTATAAGAAAACCACCAAGCTCAGAGAACTCCAAGGACCCCACAGTTCAGCCCTGATTACAAAAAATTCTCTTCTAGTGGGCTCCTTGCCCGCATGAAACAGGGAGAAGTAATATTTTGTCCCCATCTTTGTTAATAAATGTGCTGTTTCACAACAAACCTTACACAATATTCTCTTGACCTGTTCGCCAATATTGAATTGCATCCTGCCTTAAAAAAAAAAATTCCAATCAGCAGGAATGAACATGGGCGTATTTAGGTACTAAAGCATCCCTCTCCCACCTCCGATAGAGATCAATCTTA